ATGTGTAAAACTGTTGTAGTTATAGGAACCAGACTGATGTATTCCCTCCGAAATCCTGCTTAGATTTCTAAGTTGGGCTTTACACTGGATAACATCAACTCAAAAGCTATTTATACTTTCAGAAGAGAATTATACGTTAAAACACATGAAATCTCACACCTGAACAAGGTTCAACAGCCGAAATGCTGTTCCTCTGACACAGTTTCCCACTCAAACCGTCTGCTCCCCCTGCTCCGTTGAAAAACAAATGAATACATTAACAACATTGCAGCCTGCAGACACTATTTAGCTACTAAACTGTTCCCTTCAGATTGGTTTCTCAGGCTGCCCGAGTGCCGGTCCTAATCTTTGGCAACGTCTGCTGTACCAGGCATTGCATGTTACTAGGTGCTCTGTCCTCTCCTCAAGTTTTCAGTTTGGGAATTTGCTTGCTGTGGGAGCGTGCCATGTGTGCAGACCCAGTTTACAGAGGAAAACACGAGCTCAAAGAGCCCTACATGGCCATGACCTGAAGTAGTATTCTGTTGAGCAATGCTCCTGCAGGCCGGCACCCAGCTTGAGCAGAGGAAGGCAGGGCGTTTGTCGAACACGTCTGGGAGAGTTGAATGAAGCGAGCAAAGAAACTAGGGGAAAGGTTACTCCTAATATCCTCTCTGCTGCCGGAGCTGCCTCAGTGGCGCGCGAGGAGAACTCAGTCTGGCCAAGAGTAATGGCAGTCCGCGGGATAATTATCCGCGATCGCCGCGGTTTCCAGGGGAGTGTCTCTCCTCGCACATGTAGCGGAAAAAAAAGGCAGCCTCCAAAACCAAACTGAGCTATTTTAAAAAGCCATATTGAGACGGGTGTCGGAAAATCCTGTTGGAACACCAAAACCTCCCGTTTACCGAGAGGATGGCTTTAGCTGTCTTTAATAAGAGGTGCCCTGGGAATCCAAAGTGAGAATTGGGGCTGGATTGTTTTTCCCAAAACATCTCGTGACGCCTACAGAGCAGAAACTCAATCTACCCCAAAGACACCTGTGAGAAGGCTAGTCTGATTTGCACCGCAGTTACGTCCTCTCTGTCATATCAAATCGAACTCATTTCAATGAACTTGGAAAAACAACATTGTTGAAACAATGTTGGGAGACCGGAACAGAATGTGGCACGGCCTCATTGAGGAAACCGCTGTTTGGCTCAGGCTGCTGGGGTTGGAAAAGCAGTAGCCTATTTCTGTATTTCTGCACTGCTGTGTCTCAGTTTGTCTTCAAACACGGAAGAGATAAGCAGACGCGTACCCCTGCTGGAGCTGTGCCTGTGCGTCTGCGATGACTTGCACACGCAGGAATTCCACTGTGTCAACAGGAGGCACAGCAGACAGAGAGCTCGTTTTTGCTGCCCGAGAGCAGATGTCGAGAGGGCCTAGCATGTCACAGGCCGGGAACCAGGGGCTCCACTGGCATCACTGGCTCCAACACGCATCAGCACGGGCTCCTGAACAAGGTCAAGGTGAGCCTCTCACGGCCCGTCTTTCAGAGAGAAAACACGCCGTGTTGCCATTTAAACAAATCAGCTAATGACACGGCACTGCATTGCCAGAATCCTGTTTCAGCGGAACCGGGGAGCAGAGCTCTGCCAAGCCGAAGAGAAGTTTGTCCTTAGGTCACCCACAAAAAAAAAAAATCAATTGCCAGAACTGAACACTGCCTGAAAAGATGGATCAGTTGTCAAGAGGTCATTGGTAAAAAAAAAAATATATATTGAAACTCCCCTTTGGTAGTTACTGTCTCATTGACCCACCCATTTTGTGGAGTAAGCTAGGGAGTTGGCATCAATCAAATGGCTGGGTAGCTTGTTCCACGCTCCCACAACTCTTTGGGTAAGGAAGCATCTCCTGTTCTCGGTTTTAAAGGCACCTCCATGTACAGTAGTTCCCACTTGTGCCCTCTGCTGCGTGTTCTACTGTTCATCCTGAAGAAGGCCTCTGCACAGTCCCCTGTCTGTTTTTTTCTAAAAAACTCTCACGCTCCAGACTATTTCAAAGCTCCGGTGAAGCAATGCATCCAGTTTTTGCTCCCCATACTTATCCCAGTTTCCCACATGTATGTTCTGGGTTTTATTCAGCTAAGCAGCCCGGGAGAAGGACAGTGGTCAAGACCCCAGTGAACGGTAGCGGCTGTGCTTATATAGTTACCTGCCCTCTTCAGACAAATATATCGTCAAAACTGATTTGTAGAGAATTGAAATTGTACACGATTGCCCATGGCCTCCCGAGGAAGATGCAGACATGTGCAACAACAATGCACAGTGGGAGCATCTTAGAGGCTTGCCCACTGAGGCCAGAAGCCAGTGAAGCTCTTTGCAAGTGCAGGGTGATCCCTATGGCAGGGCCAGTCCTGGTGCTGGGGACCCACACACCTTCTGAGTTTTATTCATCCTGAGCACCCAATCAAATGATCGATCCCTCAGTAGTGAACTCATGCGAACTCTTTGACTGTTTTCAGCTCTCAAACATGTTGGAGACTGCCTTTTAATGATTGCGTTTCACAAGTGACTTCAGATCTCCAAACTGAGCAGGAAAACAAAACTTGCATAAATTCCTACTGAGCCAGAGGGCAGAAGTGGAAACTGCATGGAAGTCCATCAATAACCCAAACCAGGTGGCACTTTTTCACTCCGACGAATGTGAGAGTATGGATCATGCTACCCAGCCATGCTGTGGAAGGGGACACCCTGACTTCTTCCATGAAGTGGCTAAACGAGAGGGCTCTACTGCGAGGGCTGACTGGCTCTCGTTGGTGACCTTTCTTATGTTCTTCAGCGACAGGTGGGTTCAATGACAGATTCGTCGGATTGGAGAGCTCAGCTCCGATGAAAGCCAGCAGGTGTGTGGG